TTGTTCTCAGTGTATTGATTACTTGTTCCCAGTATATTGATTACTTGTTTCCAGTGTATTGATAACTTGTTCCCAGTGTAGTGATTACTTGTTCCCAGTGTATTGATAACTTGTTCCCAATATATTCAGCACTTGCTCCCAGTGTATTGATGACTTGTTCCCAGTGTATTGATTACTTGTTCTCAGTGTACTGATTACTTGTTCCCAGTATATTGATTACTTGTTCCCAGTGTATTGATTACTTGTTCCCAGTATATTGATTACTTGTTCCCAGTGTATTGATTACTTGTTCCCAGTATATTGATTACTTGTTCCCAGTATATTGATTACTTGTTCCCAGTGTATTGATTACTTGTTCCCAGTATATTGATTACTTGTTCCCAGTATATTGAGTACTTATTCCCAGTATATTGATTACTTGTTCCCAGTGTACTGATTACTTGTTCCCAGTGTATTGATAATTTGTTCCAAGTGTATTGATTACTTGTTCCCAGTGTATTGATTACTTGTTCCCAGTATATTGATTACTTGTTCTCAGTGTATTGATTACTTGTTCCCAGTGTATTGATTACTTGTTCCCAGTGTATTGATTACTTGTTCCCAGTGTATTGATTACTCGTTCCGAGTATATTGATTACTTGTTCCCAGTATATTGATCACTTGTTCCGAGTTTATTGATTGTTTGTTCCCAGTATAATGATTACTTGTTCCCAGTGTATTGATTACTTGTTCCCAGTATATTGATTACTTGTTTCCAGTATATTGATTACTTGTTCCCAGTGTACTGATTACTTGTTCCCAGTGTATTGATAACTTGTTCCAAGTGTATTGATTACTTGTTCCCAGTGTATCGATTATTTGTTCCCAGTATATTGATTACTTGTTCTCAGTGTATTGATTACTTGTTCCCAGTGTATTGATTACTTATTCTCAGTGTATTGAGTACTTGTTCCCAGTATATTGATTACTTGCTCCCAGTGTATTGATTACTTGTTCCAAGTGCACTGATTACTTGTTCCCAGTGTATTGATTACTTGTTCCCAGTGTATTGATTACTCGTTCCGAGTATATTGATTACTTGTTCCCAGTGTATTGATATCTTGTTCCCAGTGTATTGATTACTTGTTCCCAGTATATTGATTACTTGTTCCCAGTGTATTGATATCTTGTTCCCAGTGTATTGATTATTTGTTCCCAGTATACTGATTACTTGTTCCCTGTGTATTGATTACTGTTCCCAGTATATTGATCACTTGTTCCGAGTTTATTGTTTGTTCCCAGTATAATGATTACTTGTTCCCAGTGTATTGAACACTTCTTCCCAGTGTATTGATTATTTGTTCCCAGAGTATTGATCACTTGTTCCCATTGTATTGATCACTTCTTCCCAGTATATTTATTACTTGTTCCCAGTGTATTGATTACTTGTTCCCAGTATATTACTTATTCCCAGTATATTGATTACTTGTTTCCAGTGTATTGAGTACTTTTTTCCAGTGTATTGATTACTTGTTCCCAGTGTATTGATCACTTGTTCCCAATGTATTCAGTACTTGTTCCCAGTGTATTGATTACCTGTTCTCAGTGTATTGATTACTTGTTCCCAATTTATTCAGTACTTGCTCCCAGTGTATTGATTACCTGTTCTCAGTGTATTGATTAATTGTTCCCAGTTTATTGAGGACTTGTTCCCAATATATTGAGTACTTGCTCGCAATGTTTTGATTACTTGTTTGCAGTGTATTGATTACTTGTTCCCAGTATTTTGAGTACTTGTTCTCAGTGTATTGATCACCTGGTCGCAGTGTATTGATCACCTGGTCTCGGTGTATTGTTTACTTGTTCTCAGTGTATTGATTACTTGTTCTCAATGTACTGATTACTTGTTATTCACATCTGATAGCTGATTGATGATTTATACCTCTATGTTCTTTTCCTTTCTTCTTTGTCTCTCCTTCTCCTCGACTTCATGACATCGTTGGATTTCTTCCAGCGAGGCCGGTGTGAAGCGTCTGAAGACCTCTGAACCGACAGGGGGCAGCAGATGTGCCATGCTGGCATCATGCAGGTCTGCCCAAACTCCACCGTCTCCTAGCAACTGCCTTCTGTGTGGAGAGGAGGGGGGTACTTTAAGTTTACCTGACACTGACACACAGGTGAAGTAACATTAAAAACAATTGTTATTGTCCATGAAAACAAACACTGGTAGAAAACAATCAAACACACAAATAGACAGCCACTCAAACTCGTTAATTGTTCCTTTTTGACTGGCTGCTGCACCTTCTGCATCACATGCTGCTTTGTTTTTCTTTCACTGTTGTATGTTTAGATCATAAACGGACCTTTAACCTTTTTAGTCTTCTGACCTCAAAGTGCTTTTGACACCACAGAGTCACGTTTGTCATCTTTAGTCTCTGTTAAAGTCCTGAGTGCATCCGTCCACGGCGAGGGACAGACGTCATCTTTAGTCTCTGTTAAAGTCCTGAGTGCGTCTGTCCACGGCAAGGGACAGATTTCATCTTTAGTCTCTGATAAAGTCCTGAGTACGGCTGTCCACGGTGCGGGACAGACATCGTCTTTAGTCTCTGTTAACGTCTTGAGTGTGTCCGTTCACAGCGTGGGACAGATGTTGTCTTTAGTCTCTGTTAAAGTCCTGAGTGCATCCGTCCATGGCGAGGGACAGACGTCATCTTTAGTCTCTGTTAAAATCCAGAGTGCGTCCGTCCATGGCGAGGGACAGATGTCGTCTTTAGCCTCTGTTAAAGTCCTGAGTACGTCTGTCCACTGCGAGGGACAGATGTGATCTTTAGCCTCTGTTAAAGTCCTGAGTACATCTGTCCATTGCGAGGGACAGATGTGTGTTTGGATTTACAGAAAAGCATCATCTGAAGAAAACTCAGAAACATGATGATTCTTCTTCTGTGATGTCTTTGTGGACATTTATGGTCGACGGACATCAGAGAGGACGAGAAGTCACACTGAATGATGTGTTGACAGACTCTGATTCAGGTCCTGCACAAACTGTGTCTTTGTATTACAGAACAGAGGGACAGAGGGACGCCAGAGACATACAGCAGAAGGACATCCTTTATTTTAAATCAAACAGTCCTCTGAAGCTCGCTCTCTTTCAGATTCATTTTAAATGTGTTTGTTTTAAGAACTTTATCAACTCTGCTTTTGACATGTGCAACAAAAATAAACATAAATGTGTAATAACAACAACAATAATAATAATAATGATGATAATAATGATTATTATCATTATTATTGTTATAAGTGTTGTGGTGAGTGTTGAAATGTTAGAATAAAAACATCTACTACAGTCAGTTTGGACCAGCACGCACGCAAACACACACACACACACACACACACACACACGCACACACACACCACGTATCCGGTGTCTTTAGCGTTGCCACGGTTGACCCCACCCATGTGTTGCCATGGCAGCAGCAGCTGTTGCGAGTCATCAGTTTGACCCTCTGGTTTAAAGTTACAGTCACTATGATGACCCAGCTCATTCCAACACACACGCACACACACACACACACACACACACACACATATCATTCCCCTCTGTGTTCCTACATGATTTCTTTCAGCCCCTCCTCACCTCCTCTGATCAACCACTGACCTCCTGGTTTCCTCTCCTTGTGTCCTCCCTTTGCTTCCTCTCCTAGTCTGCTCTCCTTGTTTCCTCTCCTAACCCTACAAAGAATTTCAGTGGGCTCGTTGGTTTTAAATGTGGCAAGCAAACACTGCCTGATCAGCTGAGTGGCTCGCCATACCTCCATTTGGCTTGTTTGTGAGAGCGCCACAGAGACAGGAAGAGAAGGTGGGCAGAACACTGTGTGACTCGCCGAATGACCAGTAACATCAGTGCGTCACGAATCACCCAACATCAAGGTATAGCAACAAATAGTATCAATCAATCAATCAATGAGCACCAGACCCTGGTCAGAATGGTGGACAGTATTTTTCACTCCTTGAGATGAAGGACAGATTCAGTTTATATAGGTGAGGTCACCTGAGGTGTCACTGCAGCTTCAACATCAACATCCCCTCCCTGTCTGTCTGTGTGTCTGTCTGTCTGTCTGTCTGTCCGTGTGTGTGTGTGTGTGTGTGTGTGTGTGTCTGTCTGTGTGTGTGTGTGTGTGTGTGTGTGTGTGTGTCTGTCCGTGTGTCTGTCTGTCTGTGTGTCCTTCTGTCTGTCTGTCTGTCTGTGTGTCTGTCCTTCTGTCTGTCTGTCTGTCTGTCTATGTGTGTGTGTGTCTGTCTGTGTGTCTGTCCTTCTGTCTGTCTGTCTGTCTGTCTATGTGTGTGTGTGTCTGTCTCTCAGCTTGGTGTGTCTGCTGGTTCCCACAAATATTAGGCTTCAGGCAGCTAAATACAGCAACACACACACACACACACACACACACACACACGCTCGTTTAAACCAACAACATGAACAAACTGGCTCCGCCTCCTTACACAGCAGCATCACTCAGTGACCTCATCTTTTGTCTCCATGACGTATTTTCTCATATAAACTCAACGGTTTAAATTTAAAACATCACAACCCAAATGATTTAATGTTGTTTTATAAGGAAAAAAATACATGAATATACAGACTGAATAAACAGACGTATATTCTGTAGTTTTCCCCCGTTAAAGGTTTTTTTGGGGAGTTTTTCCTGATCAGCTGTGAGGGTCCTAAGGACAGAGGGATGTCATATGCTGTAAAGCCCTGTGAGGCAAATTGTGATTTGTGATATTGGGCTTTATAAATAAAACTGATTGATTGATTCATTAGTTGGGGCAGGGAGGGTGGAGATCTCAGCGGGAGCCAAACCACCAATTGTCTGATAAGTGGGCGAGCCGCTCGACCTCCTGAGTCACAGCCGACCCACTTTAGGACAGACTGAAGCCTTTTGTAATACATCTGCTTCATGTGTGTGATATTAAGTGTAAAGTTTCACAGCACAGTGACAAGCTCATCTGGGTTTGAAAAAAATGATAAAAACAGAAATAATAAAAACAAAGTTAAATAAAAACAATGATCCAGAGTTTAATGTGTTGTTTGTTCGTGTGAGATGATCTGAGATGTGTTTGTAGAGATTTAATCACATCAGTTTGACATTAACTGTGAAAACTTTGTTAACTGAACTCCAGCAGGCTTCTGAGTCATATCATTCTGGGTGGAACCAGCAGAGACCACCTCCACAGACGTGCCACTGTACTACACATGTCACAATCAATCATGGGAATATTTTCATGTGATCATCCAAACTGTCGTCCAGCAGCTGCGGCTATGGACATTAGCACCTGTGTGACAACAGACATTACAGACATTAGCCCTGGCTTGTACCACAGCTGGTGGTGCTGACTGTGACATCATTGACCACAAAAAGCAGCAGTAACAGATGCTTCCAGGCAGCAGGTTCCATCGAACATGTCAGATACTCCGGCACTTTGATAGCAGCAGTCATTGTGACATCACACCAGGCACCACAGCAGCGCCACAAACCATCAACATTTCTGTGTTTTATCTTCAAAACAGTCAGAAAAATTGAACTCTCAGCAGTTCTGTGAAACAGTGGCAGCGATCAGGGTCTCACACGAGCAGCCAAAGCAGGTGCCACCACCACTGGCATTCACCATTGAATCTGTCCAAGGGCCGTGGCAGATACCACAAATAGCAGCAGCTGCACTGGCACCTTGCTGGGGTCTGAGGCAGCTGTCACGCAAAGCGGCAGGTGCCCTGGTTTATCGAACGCTATCACAAACACAAATGCCACCATGAGAACCTACCAGCAGCCACAGTCAGTGTCCCTAACAGTGAAAGCTGTCGTGGCGTTTTCAAGTGGCTCAGCAGATGCCACAAAAAGTGACCACTAGGAGCATCTAACCAGTGTCACAGTCAGTGGCAGGTGCCATCATGTGTCACCAGCAGCCATGGAGCCACAAACAGTTAATCTGAGCTGGTTTATTAACTCTATGGGCCCGAACGATGCATAGTGTGTTCAAATTCACACCTGTTCTTCTCTATGGATGTTCTCCGTGACAGTGCGTCATAGCGAGAAGCCACCCATATCACGTTAACCCTATGGGCCCTACGCCTTTTTTTGGGGTATTTTACTGCCTTTACTTTTAAGCTCATATCACAGTCATTCTAAAGGCTACATACACATGCTATATCTTGTTTTTTTCAGGACAATCTGGGCTAACCAGATTTGCCATCCTTCCATGGCCTACTATGTGCCTGTATTTTATATTAATTTTTATATCAATGAAAAAAAACAAATGTGTGTGACTAAATTCTTACATTTTTACATGTATCTCACCATAGCAAGTTGGAAAATGACATATTCTGCCATATATGAAGAGGGGAGACTCTCTGGAATCTGGCAATATAAGAACCATGATGGTGGGACATTCTGTCACTTCACAGCTGTCCAAAACATGTGGTTTGTGCCAGGCGGACATGATTGCCAGTATTTTTTCATTATTGCAAGAAATTCCATTGACTGATACACAAAAATGTGTTTTATCTGAAAGAAACATGCAATATTTACATCTAAGACCATAGAAAAATAGTCAACCAAGTGCAGTAATGTCCTCTTGACTTACTTCTCTGTGCTCCGTCTTGCTGTTTGACCTGACCTGAACGTTTTTTTGTTGTTGTTTTTCAGTTTCAGTTATATACTGGGGGGGCATTTTGGGCATGGGGGGGGGGGCGTGTCCCCCTCAATGTATATGGTGACTACGGCCCTGTCAGCATGCTTAATTAGGCTACAGTTGTCTGGGTGCGCAAAGGTGAAGTGGCTGGTCTTGTCTTACAAAGGTTGATGGAGTGTCAACTGGACAATATGGAGATATTTGCATCTTGAAAGCTGGACTACAAATGTGGATAGACAGGGAGAAACACACACAAGCCTAAGACGTGGAAAGATTAGATATTCCTCACTATATGAAGTGACTGATAACAAGATCTGTATAATGGATTGTAAAGAAATTCGTCAGGTTTTTATTTTGTAAACAATCTATCTATATTTATAGCGTGATGGGATGATAGCACAATGATGTGTGTGGTATCAGTGGAAAGCTCTGCTCCTGCACTTTC